AGCTTGTCAAAGTCCACTCAGGCTTTAACTTTTTAGTGCATTTCACCATGATTCCCAACAAACTCATCACAATCAGGATTTTCTCTGTTATTATCACTTCTAACTGATGTATGCAAGCGATGTTACATTTTTGTTAAGCGTACGCAGTAAAAATTGACCTCGACTGGCTGCGGTCAACAAGCGTGTGCGAGAGGGGGGGGGCGTTGAAATAAATTACAAAAAAAATATTTGCCCAAATTTGCCCAAAAATCTGAAATGTTGGTTAGAAACCTTAGTCCTTGTTCTTCTACATGGCATATATTTTGTCTTGCCGCCCTTTGCCGACTTCAAAAAATAAATCAGTTTAAAAGTTTGCCCTTAAAAATTTTCACTTCTGACCTCTCTTAGATCGCGAAAACAATACCCAAAAGGAAGTAACAGCTGTTCTCTATCACGTGTTAAGGTAGGGTTGTTCCCGATGCAGTAGTTGAGACACGCCGTGCATTGTAAGAGCGGGTTGAAATCTGATACTCTGGGGACAGTTTTAATGGCGCTTCGCGAAATAGAACAACTAACGCCACCTAGGGACGTCTGCGCTCGCTACTGCTAGAGTTTCTGACTTAAATGCACACACTGGTATCATTTGGATAAGTATTAGATATAAAGTTACAGAAGTGCAAAAAATAATATAATGACTTCATTAAAAAAAGTTTCTTTTATTTTCAAATTTCCATTCTTCCAAATATGGAAATTCCTGTCCTTTAATATAAACTAAAATGTTACCTTACAATGAGGACAAACTGTATGTTCCTCTTTCTTTACTTTGCAGCACTGAGGAAATGGTAGCACCAGTGATGGGTTGGCAGCAAGTCTCCTGCTCATGTCTTCGGCATTCTCCAGGGACTTCATGCAATGGTCACAAGCTAGGTACTTATATAACGCATTCCATTCAAACTGGGAACATACAAGGGGTGTTTCTTCAAAAAGGATATCTCCTTTCTTAAAGTCCTTTACTGCAAACAGGCTCCGCCCCTGTAATACATAATTGAATTTTTGTGGTATTAACAAGCATTTAAAATATATGCTGTATCAATGAAAATAATGCAACAATCATAAAAATAGCAGCAGCTAGCGGTCACTAGCTCAGCTGGTACAACTGTGCAACTTTTAGAGACCGACTTATCTTCAGCAGAAGGCTGGAAAACACGCTCGTGTTCGGTGCCAATTTAATTTAATTTAATTTAATTTAAAGAAAGATCAATACTCCCCTGATATAAACATTTCAATTATTATAAGCTATCGTTAACCACTGAGAATACCTTGAGTTTGTCAACACGAATTTCCACGTGCTCCATTGCAGCTAAATATGGGCATACGAAGTTAGAAAGAAATGAAACACGGAAAATATTTTCTTATTTATATGAAATAAAATTAGTGGAGTGGTTAATTCCATCATATATTTAATTAACTTTCTGGTAGTATAAATGATTTTTCTTGATTTTAAAGAGTGATTTGATTTGTTTACTTGTTAATAGAATTTGTGCGAAACTGCGCTACTGACCCAATTAAAATGTAGGTCAGAATCTTTCGCGCGCGGTGTTGTGCTCCTTTTACAGTAAAACATGTCCAGGGCAATTACCTTCGTGACCGGCAATGTCAAGAAATTAGAAGAAGTAGTACATATACTGGGTCCCTCGTTTTCACAGAAGGTAATAAGGGGCTGATCTCTTGGTACAGAAAATATACAAAAACTGACAAAGAGTTGAGAGCAAGTTTTCATGACACACCTGATTTCATACCTGTAACCTGGGCCGGGGCACTGAATTGTTATTAACACTTTTAATGGTTTTTGAACTGTTATTTTACAAAAATAAAACAAAAAAAAAAAACTATCGATATAATACTGATTTATGCTCATTTTCTTCATCTTCGTAAATTTCCATTCGATAATTGTATTTTATTAGAATATAACATTACCAATTACTACAATAATTATAATTCTCATGATCCAGCCTTAGTCTCAAGTTATTTTTCTACATTCCTAATTGTAGTTTGTCACCTGTGACATAGATTTACCAGAATATCAAGGAGAACCAGATGATGTCACCATTGCTAAGTGCAAGACAGCAGTGGAACATGTCAAGGGGCCTGTCATGATCGAGGACACTTGCCTGTGTTTTAATGCACTGGGTGGTCTACCTGGTCCATACATCAAGTGGTTCTTAAAGAAATTGGGTCCTGCAGGTGTGTGTATATACTATGTAATTTTAACCGGGTATCACAATCTGTTTTTGACCCTTGCAGCATTGCCAAAATGGGCATGGAAAGCACATGTTGACTTAGATTTTAGCTGTAAGAAATTTACACTTTTTTTAAATAAGCTATATTTTGGTGTTGGATCTCACGTACAGTATCAACATATTGGTCAAAACATAATGCAGTGGCATTGGCCAGAGGAGATGTGGTTAATCTTCAGCAATTTCATTAATCAATTGTGATCAAACAAAAGGGTAATTTTCAAGCACTTACAGTAGTTTATGCAGAAAATTCTGGAATAAATAAGGAGATAATTTAAACATCAATATTTTTTCATTTTTCAGTTATTTATTTCTTACAAGAATTAACACGACCAACCTTTTGCCTATAATTGCCATGTTCTTATTTCAGGTCTATTCAAGCTTCTTAATGGCTTTGAAGACAAAACAGCATATGCATTATGTACATTTGCCTATTCAACAGGAAACCCAGATGAAAAAGTAATGTTATTTCAAGGTAAAACGGAGGGTAGGATAGTAGAGCCACGTGGACCAAATGACTTTGGCTGGGACCCTTGCTTCCAACCTGATGGTTTTGAACAGACATATGCAGAGATGAGCAAAGATCAGAAGAATTCTATATCACACAGAGGGAAGGCCCTTAGGTCTTTGAAAGACTATTTTGCAGGTCAAACCAATTCTACTTGATGATTATGTAGCTAACACGGGCAGATCCAGAGATATTTTCTGACAGTCCTTCAAATTATCTTTGTTGATCCACCCTCCATTTTTAACCGTCTTCTGACAGAAAAAATTAGATGCCCATCAATGTAAACTTGAAAAATTCTGACCGTTTTCCAGAAGAAGACCTCTGTCCTCCCCTGCTTCAGAATGTTATACTTCAAAAATTCAGGTGGTGAATTATATATGCATAACTAGATGTTGATGAATCATGAAACATTTCCTCTGAGCTTAAAGCTACTAGTGCTGATTTGTCTTTACCCAGTATTTGCTCTCCGTCACTGTTTCAGGATTCACCTGTGTTGAAAAGCCTCAAGTCTGAACTCGAGGTTTTACTATAGCTTTATTTTAAAATGCTGGTCCACTTAAAGAAATTAAAGAACTAATGAATTCTTGTGCAAGAAAATGCAAATGAATAGAGATAGAAATTGCCTAACTGTAGAAATACAACTTACATAACTGTTGAGTCCAACAGCTACAATGTAGGTGAAAAAATTTTGGTGAAGTACAACACATTAAGTCTGTAGTTGGCACACTTGAAAATATGGGTGGGTGTATGACAGCGTCACACCTAAGTACTCAAAAAAGTGCCGTTAGTATAGTTATGAGTAGTACCATTAATATTTATGACCCACCAAAAATTATAAATTTATTTAAGAACACTCACCTCTCAGAAACTATTTAAGCAGTACAGAAATTAGACTTAGTAGACTGAAACTCTGTGCAAAATATGGACGAATGAATGGCAAAAGAGAAATACAGCTTTTTTTCTTGTGAAATTATTATTGTTGGTGCTATTTACAAACTAAGAAGAATACAAATGAAATCCATAATATTTGATTCTACGACAATTCCTCCCTGACAATCCTCCCCCCCCCCCCCTCCATATCAAGAATACACTGCTTTTGAATTATCATTTTCAGGCATTCATACATTTCTTGAATATTTTACTGAAAATAATAGAGGAGACAAAATATAATAAAAAAACAAAGGTATTGGCTATTAATTACAAGATTCAGGAGGCTCACGCCTGAATGAACCTGAGAGATAACCTTAATTATAGAATGCAATACGCGCAAACTTTAAAATTTTGATTACATAGTATTTTTTAATAAAAAATAATTCCATTTTACCATTGTTTTCTAAAAGCAAACACTTGCCATTTTATCCGCATTTCATTTGATGTTTAGTAAATTATAATAATGAAACTAGAAAAAAAACTGAAGGTTGTTTATTTATGGTCATGGGGTAGTGGCNTTCATTGGTCCGAAGGCTCTATAGTGAACATTCGGACCAATGAACCTTCGGACTATTGAACCTTCGGACTATCGCTACGGCCCCGTTGTTGTCTGCTTTTCCCGCGGTTTTAAGTAGGTCACCAGTGACTTTGCAATGTCAGAGAGAGCTCCGTCAGTTAAAATCTCTTAAGAGATTTTAACAAAAAACGTACTTTTAGGAAAAAAACCCTGGATTAAGTTTGAATGCAGGAATGGGGTCGTTGGCCATTGGTAAGTACGGGAAAATTGCCGTTTTTTCCAGGAAAATCCAATTTTTGGCCAAAACGAAGAGTTATTATGACTTTAACCTTATGCCCATTTCCCACATCATAAAATTAATCTGCTAGAGTTTCTGACTTAAATGGACACACTGGTATCATTTGGATAAGTATTAGATATAAAGTTACAGAAGTGCAAAAAATAATGTAATGACTTCATTCAAAAAAGTTTCTTTTATTTTCAAATTTCCATTCTTCCAAATATGGAAATTTCTGTCCTTTAATATAAACTAAAATGTTACCTTACAATGAGGACAAACTGTATGTTCCTCTTTCTTTACTTTGCAGCACTGAGGAAATGGTAGCACCAGTGATGGTTTGGCAGCAAGTCTCCTGCTCATGTCTTCGGCATTCTCCAGGGACTTCATGCAATGGTCACAAGCTAGGTACTTATATAACGCATTCCATTCAAACTGGGAACATACAAGGGGTGTTTCTTCAAAAAGGATATCTCCTTTCTTAAAGTCCTTTACTGCAAACAGGCTCCGCCCCTGTAATACATAATTGACTTTTTGTGGCATTAACAAGCATTTAAAATATATGCTGTATCAATGAAAATAAAGCAACAATCATAAAAATAGCAGCAGCTAGCGGTCACTAGCTCAGCTGGTACAACTGTGCAACTTTTAGAGACCGACTTATCTTCAGCAGAAGGCTGGAAAACACGCTCGTGTTCGGTGCTAATTTAATTTAATTTAAAGAAAGATCCATACTCCCCTGATATAAACATTTCAATTATTATAAGCTATCGTTAACCACTGAGAATACCTTGAGTTTGTCAACACGAATTTCCACGTGCTCCATTGCAGCTAAATATGGGCATACGAAGTTAGAAAGAAATGAAACACGGAAAATATTTTCTTATTTATATGAAATAAAATTAGTAGAGTGGTTAATACTTAACTTTCTGGTAGTATAAATTATTTTTCTTGATTTTAAAGAGTGATTTGATTTGTTTACTTGTTGAAAGAATTTGTGCGAAACTGCGCTACTGACCCAATTAAAAAGTAGGTCAGAATCTTTCGCGCGCGGTGTTGTGCTCCTTTTACAGTAAAACATGTCCAGGGCAATTACCTTCGTGACCGGCAATGTCAAGAAATTGGAAGAAGTAGTACATATACTGGGTCCCTCGTTTTCACAGAAGGTAATAAGGGGCTGATCTCTTGGTACAGAAAATATACAAAAACTGACAAAGAGTTGAGAGCAAGTTTCATGACACACCTGATTTCATACCTGTAACCTGGGCCGGGGAACTGAATTGTTTTTGTTTATCACTTTTAATGGTTTTTGAACTGTTATTTTACAAAAAATAAAATATATATATATCGATATAATACTGATTTATGCTCATTTTCTTCATCTTCGTAAATTTCCATTCGATAATTGTATTTTATTAGAATATAATTAACATTACCAATTACTACAATAATTAAATTATAATTCTCATGATCCAGCCTTAGTCTCAAGTTATTTTTCTACATTCCTTATTGTAGTTTGTCACCTGTGACATAGATTTACCAGAATATCAAGGAGAACCAGATGATGTCACCATCGCTAAATGCAAGACGGCAGTGGAACATGTCAAGGGGCCTGTCATGATCGAGGACACTTGCTTGTGTTTTAATGCACTGGGTGGTCTACCTGGTCCATACATCAAGTGGTTCTTGAAGAAATTGGGTCCTGCAGGTGTGTTTATATACTATATAATTTTAACCGGGTGTCACAATATGGTTTTGACCCTTGCAGCATTGCCCAATTGGGCACAGAAAGCACATGTAGTCTTAGATTTTAGCTGTAAGAAATTTATACTTCTTTTAAATAAGCTGTATTTTTGGTGTTGGATCTCACAGTATCACAATATTGGTCACAACAAAAATGCATTGGCATTGGCCAGAGGAGATGTGGTTAATCCTCAGCAAGTTCATTAATCAATTGTGATCAAACGAAAGGGTGCTTTTCAAGCACTTACGGTAGTTTACTCAGAAAATTCTGGAATAAATAAGGAGATAATTTAAACATCAATAATTTTTCATTTTTCAGTTATTTTTTTATTTCTTATAAGAATTAACACCAGGGGCGGATCCAGAGCTATTTTCTGTCAGTCTTCCAAATTATCTTTGTTGATCCATCCTCATTTTTGACCGTCTTTTGACAGAAAAATTAAATACCTGTCAATGTAAACTTGAAAATCTGACCGTCTTCCGGAAGACCCAGAAGACGGCCTAAATCCGCCCCTGAACACGACCAACCTTTTGCCTTTAATTTGCCTGGTTCTTATTTCAGGTCTATTCAAGCTTCTTAATGGCTTTGAAGACAAAACAGCATATGCATTATGTACATTTGCCTATTCAACAGGAAACCCCAATGAAAAAGTAATGTTATTTCAAGGTAAAACTGAGGGTAGGATAGTAGAGCCACGTGGACCAAATGACTTTGGCTGGGACCCTTGCTTCCAACCTGATGGTTTTGAACAGACATATGCAGAGATGAGCAAAGATCAGAAGAATTCTATATCACACAGAGGGAAGGCCCTTAGGTCTTTGAAAGACTATTTTGCAGGTCAAACCAATTCTACTTGATGATAATGTAGCTAACAGGGGCAGATCCAGAGATATTTTCTGGCAGTCTTTTAAATTATCTTTGTTGATCCACCCTCCATTTTTAACCGTCTTCTGACAGAAAAAATTAGATGCCCATCAATGTAAACTTGAAAAATTCTGACCGTTTTCCAGAAGAAGACCTCTGTCCTCCCCTGATTCAGAATGTTATACTTCAAAATTTCAGGTGGTGAATTATATATGCATAACTAGATGTTGATGAATCATGAAACATTTCCTCTGAGCTTAAAGCTACTAGTGCTGATTTGTCTTTACCCAGTATTTGCTCTCCGTTACTGTTTCAGGATTCACCTGTGTTGAAAAGCCTTAAGTCTGAACTCAGGTTTTACTATAGCTTTATTTTAAAATGCTGGTCCACTTAAAGAAATAAAAGAAATAATAAATTCTTGTGCAATAAAATGCAAATGAATAGAGATAGAAATTGCCTAAATGTAGAGATACAACTTACATAACTGTTGAGTCCAACAGCTACAATGTAGGTGAAAAAATTTTGTACAACACATTAAGTCTGTAGTTGGCACACTTGAAAATAAGAGTGGGTATATGACAACATCACACCCGAGTACTCAAAAATGTGCCATTAGTGGGTATAGTTATGAGTAATACCATTAATATTTATGACCTGCCAAAAAATTATAAATTTATTTAAGAACACTCACCTCTCAGTAACTATTCAAGTAGTACAGAAATTAAGCTTAGTAGACTAAAACTCTGTGCAAAATGTGGACGAATGAATGGCAAAATAGAATAAAGCTTTTTTCTTATGAAATTATTATTGTTGGTGTTGTTTACAAACAAAGAAGAATACAAATGAAATCCATAATATATGCTTCTAGGACAATCCTCCCCCCCCCCCCCCATCTCAAGAAAGAATATACACTGCTTTTGAATGATCATTTTCAGGCATTTATACATTTCTTGAATATAGGAGACAAAATATAATAAAAAACAAAGGTATTGGCTATTAATTACAAGATTCAGGAAGCTCACACATCAATGAACCTGAGAGATAACCTTAACTACGTGCAAACTTTTAAAAAGTGCAATTACATGGTATTTTTTATTAAAAAAACAATTCCATTTTACCATTATTTTCTAAAAGCAATTATCATTTTATCCACATTTCATTTGATGTTAGGAAGTTTTCTGAATGGGTCAAGTAAATTATAAAAATGAAACTAGAAAAAAATAAAATAACTGAAGGTTGGTTATTTATGGTCATTTGGTAGTGGAAGAACAATTAAAACTGACAGTAAATTCATCGGTGGAATACCTGGGAGAATGAGATCATGTTTACCTCACGTTTACCTGGTGATGCACCTTGATTATAGGCAGTCAATGTGATGAGGTGGTGTTGGGGGGGGGTTCAAGATGACTAAAAGTGACAATAAGTTCACCAAGGGATACCTGGATAAGTGAGATACCTGGAGATACAAATTTATTAAAGGCAGGCATTTATAATTTTTGTCAATATCACATTCTTCATTCTTATAATTATATTCATTACTGGATGGAATTGTCCTGATACCCTATAATGCAAATAAGTAAATGAAGAACTTCAATTAAATAACATTTATTTTTCACATAGCTTCTGCAAATATTAAATCAAAAATGCCATTTACATTTGCCTCTCATATTACATTTTAAGTAGCACTTTGACATATTTGTCATAAAATGAGATTTTAAAAAAATTCACTGAGAAACACATCCCTCTATTCACTGTGTTTCTTAGGGCGTATTCCCATAGATTTTAGATCGATCTATCCCCGTGGGGAGTCTCACTAGATTACTGTCAGATAATCTGGCTTAAATGTCTGTCCCGCCTACTACAAGCTGTAAGGGGGTAATTAACTTTCGTGCCTGCTCGTCTGACAGCTATTTAGTGTGAACCCCCAGGGAGTTAGGTCGATCTAGTTTGGATCGATCTAATCTCTGGGAATGGGGTCTTAGTATTTGTTTTATGGACTCTGTCAAATAAAAAAATAGCATGGAAGTTCAATATGTCACGGATGCCATGATATGAAGTTTTCATGGACTTCCTCCAAGTCTTTGGAATAAATGCTTTCCATCTGTGAAGTTACTTGATGCAGAGTAACATAAACACAACATTATGTTATTCCATCTTTGTATGCCTTCTGTGAGAACACCACATAACTCCTGCTGCCACAATTGTACTGCTTATTAAACCTATTGCAAACCCAGCTGTAGGAAACTTCCCCTGGAATACAAAATAAATAAATAATAAACTTGTATGAAAAGTGTATATGGTATCACTGATAAAAAGGGACCTTTGTTAGCCACAATTATTAAAACTTTGACTCTGTTCCTGGATATGATTGCATGAAATATGCTGAGCTTTTTAAAGGCTGTAAAAGTACAATTATTTTGGGACTTAACACCCGAAACCAGCAACAACTTATTCACTGGTATAAATAAATCTTTCACAATCTTTCCTGCCACAAATTTTTTGCATAAGTCACCTACAGTAGTTACTTAGATTTTTATATGCCTCACTTTTTCTGACATTTATCAATCCAAACCCTCACCATAATTTACTTTCTGCCAGGAAGACACCTTATTTTTTTTAAATTCTAAAATGACTTTACTAAATATAATTAGCAAAGCAATTTTGAGAGATACAAATGCTTGAATTTATTGAATAATTACTGTACCTGTCTGGAGCATTTGTATCCATGATTGCCTTCATCACATGAGCACTCAGCCAGACCTGGGCCATTTCCACTACAGTGGGAGGATGCAGGGCAGGGCACTGGAAATTAATCAATTTTTTAATAAAGAATAGACTACTACTGATAAGCCACTGTCAGAGAGCTTAATTCTTTTAAAGGGACTTGTTAATTTATAGCCTTCCCGTAGCTACATTAATCCTTTACAGGTTTTTAAAGGTTTGTGGCTTTTATATGTATAAAAATTCTGATAGGTGACTAAGGCTATGTTCAGGTTAAAAGTTATGGGACTAGCAGGATCGATCTATCTCCATGGGAATTCTTGCTAAAGTGCACTCAATGTAATCAGCTTAATTGTCAGGCCTGCCCCCTCCAGAAACTAGGGGGTAATTTTCTTTAATAGCTTCTGGAGGGGCGGGCCAGACAATTAAGCAGTCCTGACCTAAATCCTGTCTACAAGTGATCTGTCCCTGGCATGTTGTTATATTTCCTTGAATAGTGATGTCTTCCCATGCAGTTAGCTCTCCAGGGCAAGAACAGGTGGTTGGCACACTCCTGAAATAATGAATCAACTTTCCTTTATAAACCAGAACAAGCTTCACATATATGTCAAAGAAGGCACAGACAAACGCATTTCACTACAATGCATCTGAGGATTTCAAAAGAAGCAAAAAAAGATGAAATAAATTATTACAGCAATAAAGTTCATGATTTGTCATTTTAAGAAATCTTACAGTAACTTTAACAATAGAAATGATCCCAAATTAACAAGATGAGTTTAATACCTGTTTTGCTGTTTCAAAAATAATCTAAAAATACTTACAAAAAATATAAATCTGTCAAACCTCTAAAGTCTTCTACACTGCAGTTATACAGTGGATTAGCATCTAAAACCCTGGAGTACAAAATAGCAATGTAATCAATAATCAAATTTCCTTTCAGGGTTGCTAGAAGTTATGATAACATTTCAAAATCAACAAAAGTCAGACTAATACAGCAACATAGTAAAGTGTGAATAGAATGTTGTCACAATACTTACAAATATTGCACCATTTTGAGATCTGTTTTAAATGTCTTTAGCTGCTCCCTTGATATATTACAAAAGGACAAGTCTATGCTAAAAAGGATAATAGATAATATTATAATAAATAATGACTCACTATGCACATATAACTAAATCAGGTACTTATTTTATTTGGTATCTTGACAGTTTTTACAGTATTAAAATTAATAATTGTGTGTGTGTGTAGTTATTTACATGAATACATTATCAATTTCAAAAATGTGTGAAATGAAGTATAATCCTTAAATAAATTGTGTTTATGAATGGTCTATCTTACCCTGCAAGGGTATGTGACCCCTCAGTCGTGGAATTGAAGCAACATCTCCCACTGATTGTCATATTTTGTGTTTTACAATAATTAAATACAGAACTACTGTTACTCATCTGCTGACAAGAAGCATAGCTGCACACCTTTGGCTGAAAGAAAAAGATGTTTGTACAAATGTTAATCTGAATGATCAACCTCAAACGTTCTAATGCATGTTTTTCTAACTAGTACTCTACCATGCCTAGTAACAAAAATGAGTCCTGGTGACAGAATTCTGAGTATGTTAAGGTCTGCAATTTTACTGCAGCCCCAATTTTCTACATGCATGACTAACTTTTTAAGAATTAAAAAATAATAATCTGCCATAGACGAGATACCTTACCCCAACCTACCCAACCCAAATAATGGTGAAAAAAGAAAAAGATAAGCAAGCTTGTTTGCATAAATCAGTTAAATTCTACAAATTTAATGATAATATATCAAAACAACACCAGTGACAAAATTGTTAACAAAGTGAAAAGTGTGGAGTATACAAAGAGGTGCAAGCTTCACTCGTGTGTGTTCACTCATCACTGCACAGTAAAGAAATTTTTTTTAATGTGTGATCGGTTTGATCAGTCATAATAAGTCCATACATTCATAGATGTTTCAGGCACTGGTCGTACTTACTATATGGTCATCTAATGTTGCAGTTGATGTTGAAATAAATATAATTAAAACATCAACAATCAACCTGCAGTGCCCCATGTCAAAACGAATCAAAATAAACCAACTTCCGCATCATGTTGGTATAGGTGGCGCAATAGATCAAGAAATACAACCTATTAGTTTTTCATCCGAAAATAGTCTTGTTTCTTGTAAAAACCGCTCTCCAGAATATTTGTTTATATTATAAATTCTGAGAATCAAATTTTAAGTTTTTAATGTAAATAGAAATTAGATGTATAAGTAAAGGCATTACTTTTCTTGCATTTAGCGCCATGTAGCGGCAGTTACCATGACACAGTGGCACAAACAAAATATCTGTCACCTGTATATCAAGATACCTGCTATTGGTTATGCCTAGGAGTGACAGCCAATCAGATCAAAGCATAGAAAACCTCCTTGGTTTGATCCCTGGCTCTTTTGTGTTTGCCTGACAACCAACAAACCATTCACTTTATATTTTGCTTCACGAGGCACGGCAACAGTACACGAAAGCAGCTAAGCGGTAGACAGGTAAGTGTTGTCTGTAACAGATAACCGATGTCAACAAACGGGATGAGCATATGTAATACACTCATCTAGATAAGTTGGTCACATATTTTGTTTTGTAATTTTTGGTGATATGCTATTTGGATTAGAGATATTCCTGCGACCAAATTGAAAGGGTGATGTACGTATTGTACGTATTCCTGTTATGTTATCATTCATTCAGAAAATAGCAAATGTATGTTAATAGACCAAACATTTTTTCTTTAATAATTACATGTGTTGTCAAATCTTATTTCAGATATATTATTTTAGAATAACCAAAAAAAAAAATGGCTACTCAAGTTAAGCCGGCCACACGATTTGCTCCATCAGATTGGTTTACATCAAACTACACCATTTCTACTAATGCTGAACGCCAGAGAGAATCTTCACACCAAGTACGACAGGAGTCTAGATTCCTCCGTAATGAAACCGACAACAGAACCAAATGGGACCAACATGATAATAACACTAGGTTATCTGATCGAGTAGATGATATAAGAAAATGGAAGGAAATTTTAGAAAAATGTTTGGCTGATTTAGATAAGGAAATTGCTGATCTGTCAGAATCTAAAGAGCAAACTGAGCTCGCTTTGGAAGCCAAGAATGTACCCACAGATGTTGCAATTGAGTGCCTAACAATCCGTGAAGGAAGGCAGGCTATTGATTTAGTATCAGATGAAGTGGAAGCACAATTACACAAGGTAAAAATTAAAACTATTAATAAACACAGTAAGAATTGTACAGAGTTCAGTTTTAATTATAAAATAAAAATTGTACTGGCTAATTGTCAAAAAAAAAAAAAAAANATGTCTCCGCACTCGACAATAACTTGGGTGTAGCACAGGGTGTTAGTATGGAGCTTGCGGAATCAGCTGAGGATTACCGATTGACGGTCAACCAATCAGCGTTTTCACCAAACTTTGGTGAAAAATTTTGAAACTTGGATTCGATTGGCTTATATAAACTAGGTCAAACTATTTTCGTCAGAGGTAACTTGACACGATGAAGATAGGCTATTGTGAAGAGGTTAGTGTCAAGTTATCTCTGAAGCTCAGGGTGGGTAGTGGAGGAACAATTAAAACTTACAGCAAGTTCATCAGTGGAATACCTGGGAGAATGAGATTATGTTTACCTCACGTTTACCTGGTGATGCACCTTAATTATAGGCAGTCAATGTGATGAGGTTGGGGGGGGGGGGGGTTAAGATGACTAAAAGTGACAATAAGTTCACCAAGGGATACCTAGATAAGCGAGATACCTGGACATACAAATTTATTAAAGGCAGGCATTTATAATTTTTGTCAATATCACATTCTTCATTCTTATAATTATATTCATTACAGGGTGGAATTGTCCTGATATCCTATAATGCACATTAGTAAATGAAGAACTTCAATTAAATAACATTTATTTTTCACATAGCTTCTGCAAATATTAAATCAAAAATGACATTTACATTTGCTTCTTATATTACATTTTAAGTAGCACTTTGAAATATTTCTGTCCTAAAATGAGATTTAAAAAATATATATATTCACTGAGGAACACATTCCTCTATTCACTGTGTTTCTGAGTATTTGTTTTATGAACTCTATCAAGCATGTAAGTTCAATATGTCAGGGATGCCATGATATGAAGTTTTCATGGACTTCCTCCAAGTCTTTGGAATAACTGCTTTCCATCTGTGAACATACTTGATGCAGAGTAACATAAACACAACATTCTGTTATTCCATCTTTGTATGCCTTCTGTGAGTGCACCACATGATCCCTGCTGCTACAATCGTACTGCTTATTAAACCTATTGCAAACCCAGCTGTAGGAAACTTCCCCTAGAATACAAAATCAGTAAATAAACTTGTATGAAAAGTGTATATGGTAGCACTGATAAAAAGTGACCTTTTTTAGCCACAATTATTAAAACTTTAACTCTTGTTGCTGGATGTGATTGCATGAAATATGCTGAACTTTTTAAGGGCTGTAAAAGTACATTTATTATGGGACTTAACACCTGAAACCAGCAATAACTTAATCACTGGTTTAAATAAATCTTCCACAATCTTTCCTGCCACAAATATTTTGCAAAAGTCACATACAGTAGTTACTTAGATTTTTATACGCCTCACTTTTTCTAACATTTATCACTCCAAACCCTCACCACAATTTACTTCTGATAGGAAGACACCTTATTTTTAAAAAAATCTAAATCAACTTAAATACAATTAACAAAGCACTTTTGGGAGAAACAAATGTTGGAATTTATTGAGTAATTACTGTACCTGTCTGGAGCATTTGTATCCATGATGGCCTTCATCACATGAGCACTCAGCCAGACCTGGGCCATTTCCAGCACAGTGGGAGGATGCAGGACAGGGTACTGGAAATTAATCAATATTTTAATAAAGAATAGACAATTAGTGATAAGCCATTGTCAGAGAGCTTAATTCTTTTTTAAAAGGGACTTTTTAATTTATAGCCTTCCCATAGCTACATTATTAATAGGTTTTTAGAGGTTTGTTGCTTTTACATAAAAATTCTGATAGGTGACTAAGGCTATGTTCAGGTTAAAAGTTATGGGTCCAGCAGGATCGATCTATCTCCATGGGAATTCTTGCTTAAGTGCACTCAATGTAATCGGCTTAATTGTCTGGCCTGCCCCCTTCAGAAACTGGGGGGTAATTTTTTTCATAGCTTCTGGAGGGGCGGCCCAGACAATTAAGTAGCCCTGACCTAAATCCTGTCTACAAGTGATCTGTCCCTGGCATGTTGTTATATTTCCTTGAATAGTGATGTCTTCCCATGCAGTCAGCTCTCCAGGGCAAGAACAGGTGGTTGGCACACTCCTGAAATAATGAATTAACTTTCCTTTACAAACCAGAACAAGCTTCACATATATGACAAAGATGGCACAGACAACCACATTTCACTACAATGCCCCTGAGGATTTCAAATGGAGCAAAACAAGATAAAATAAATTATAACAGAAATGAACTTCATGGTTTGTGCTTTTAAGAAATCTTACAGTAACATTTAAAACAGAAATGATCCCAGATTAACAAGATGAGTTTGATACCTGTTTTGCTGTTTCAAAAATAATCTAAAAATACTTACAAAAAATATAAATCTGTCAAACCTCTGAAATCTTCTACACTGCAGTTATACAGTGGATTAGCATCTAAAACCCTGGAGTACAAAATAGCAATGTAATCAATAATCAAATTTCCTTTCAGGGATACTAGAAGCTATGACAACATTAATTTTCATTTCAAAATCAATAAAAGTCAGACTAATACAGCAACATAGTAAAGTGTGAACAGAATGTTGTCAAATAACAATACTTACAAATATTGCACCATTTTGAGATCTGTTTTAAATGTCTTTAGCTGCTCCCTTGATAAATTACAAAAGGACAAGTCTATGCTAAAAAGGATAATAAATAACATTATAATAAATAATAACTCACTATGCACATGTAACTATATCAGGTACTTATTTTATTTGGTATCTTGACAGTTTTTACGGTCTTAAAATTAATAAGTGTGTGTGTGTGTGTAGTTATTTACATGAATACATTATCAATTTCAAAAATGTGTAAAATGAAGTATAATCCTTAAATAAATTGTATTTATGAATGGGCTATCTTACCCTGCAAGGGTATGTGACTCCTCAGTCGTGGTATTGAAACAACATCTCCCACTGATTGTCATATTTTGTGTTTTACAATAATTTAATACAGAACTACTGTTACTCATCTGCTGACAAGAAGCATAGCTGCACACCTTCGGCTGAAAGAAAAAGATGTTTGTAAAAATCTTAATCTGAATAATCAACCTCAAACGTTCTTATGCATGCATGTTTTTCTAATAGTGTACTCTACCATGCCTAGTAACTTACAGAAATGAATCCTGGTGACAGAACTCCAACTATGTTAAGGTCTGCAATTTTACTGTAGACCCAATTTCCTACATGCATGAATTGAAATTAAAAAACCATCTGCCATAGACAAGATACCCTACCCCAACCTACACCCCAACCCAAATAATTATACTGGTGAAAAAAGAAAAAGTTAAGCAAGCTAGTTTGCATAAATCAGTTAAAATCTACAATTTTAATTATAATATATCAAAACAACACCAGTGGCAAAATTGTTAACATTAGTAAAAGGTGTGGAGTATACAAAGTCAAAAAGGTGCAAAATTCACTCGTGTACCCCTATCTGGTATGTGTTCACTCGTCAATGCACAGTAAAGAATTTAAAAAAAAAGTGTGATCGGTTTGATCAATCATGACTAAGTCCATACATTCATAGATGTTTAAGGCACTGGTCGTACTTACTATATGGCCATCTAATGTTGCAGCTGATGTTGAAATAAATATAATTAAAACGTCAACAATCAACCTGCAGTGCCCCATGTCAGAACGAATCAAAATAAACCAACTTCCGCATCATGTTGGTATAGGTGGCGCAGTAGATCAAGAAATACAAGCTATTATTTTTCATCCGAAAATAGTCTTGTTTCTTGTAAAAACCGCTCTCCAGAATATTTGTTTATATTATTAATTCTGAGAATTAAATTTTAAGTTTTTAATGTAAATAGAAGTTAGATGTATAAGTAAATGCATTACTTTTCTTGCATTCAGCGCCATGTAGCGGCAGTTACCATGACACAGTGGCACAAACAAAATATCTACCACCTGTATATTAAGATACCTGCTATTGGTTATGCCTAGGAGTGACAGCCAATCGCATCAAAGCATAGAAAACCTCCTTGGTTTGAGCCCTGGCCCTTTTGTGTTTGCCTGACAACCAACAAACCATTCACTTTATATTTTGCTTCACGAGGCACGGCAACAGTACACGAAAGCAGCTAAGCGGTAGACAGGTAAGTGCTGTCTGTAACAGATAACCGATGTCAACAAACGGGATGAGCATATGTAATACACTCATCTAGATAAGTTGGTCACATATTTTGTTTTGTCATTTTTGGTGATTGCCTATGATATGCTATTTGGATTAAAGATATTCCTGCGACCAAATTGAAAGGGTGATGTATTATACGTATTCCTGTTATGTTATCATTCATTCAGAAACTAGCAAATGTAAGTTAATAGAGCAAACATTTTTTCTTTAATAATTACATGTGTTGTCAAATCTTATTTCAGAAATATTATTTTAGAATAACCAGAAAAAAATGGCTACTCAAGTTAAACCGGCCACACGATTTGCTCCATCAGATTGGTTTACATCAAACTACACCATTTCTACCAATGCTGAACGCCAGAGAGAATCTTCACACCAAGTACGACAGGAGTCTAGATTCCTCCGTAATGAAACCGACAACAGAACCAAATGGGACCAACATGATAATAACACTAGGTTATCTGATCGAGTAGATGATATAAGAAAATGGAAGGAAATTTTAGAAAAATGTTTGGCTGATTTAGATAAGGAAATTGCTGATCTGTCAGAATCTAAAGAGCAAACTGAGCTCGCTTTGGAAGCCAAGAATGTTCCCACAGATGTTGCAATTGAGTGCCTAACAATCCGTGAAGGAAGGCAGGCTATTGATTTAGTATCAGATGAAGTGGAAGCACAATTACACAAGGTAAAAATTAAAACTATGAATAAACACAGTAAGAATTGTACAGAGTTCAGTTCTAATTATAAAATAAAAATTGTACTGGCTAATTGTCAAAAAAAAAAAAAAAATCTCACTATTTAAGTTAAACCTTGCATTGTTGTTTTCGTTATCCTGTTTAAAATCTTGATAAAGAAATAAAATTATTCTTTCATTACAGGAAGTAGAAGTCATTGATGGCATTAAAAAGCAGTTGCAGCAAAAATGCTCTGAGGCATTTGAACAGCTCTGCTTGCTGCAAGAGGCTCGCCAGCAGATCATCATGGATCTTCAAGACAAGAACATTGCCCTTGGAATTGATGTAGACCAATACAACCTGACTGAAAGATCTCCACTCATCAGCTTCAAACCAGATCCTACTAGGGTACCAAAGGGGTAAGTTTAATCAATTTTTCATATATATATATATATATATATATATATATATATATATATATATATATATATATATATATTATAGAAATAATAAAAATTTAATGCTATCAGTTCCATTTACTTAATTCAATTGCAACTCAGGTTAAGTTAAATCCAATATGAAGCACAGGAATTAATCTAAATTACTCACTCATTTTAGGAGTGTGACTCCTCAAAACTGGGAAGACTTCAGCCGTTACAACAAAGAACGTGCTGAGGCAGAAATGAATGCTTCCACCCGTCTTCGTGAAGCCATACACCATACCCTGCAGCAGACAGCTAATGATCTGGAGGCTCAGCGTCTGGCTACAGAGTATGCTTACAGGAAGAGAATCCACGAGACTGAGAGGGCCAAGGGAGAACTTGAGTGGCAGAAGCAAAATGTAAGTAAATTTAACATTCTAGGCATGGAAACTGTTATGTTCAGAAAAAAAAACTAATTTTTATTTTAAATTTATAAAAATTCCAAGTTTTTTTTAACTGTTCCAAATCCCTTATCAGATTTTTAAAAATTAATTGTTGTAATTTTTCTAACAGTGAAAGTTTAACCTTAGCTTCCAGCATGTTTTACATGTAACTTTTAAAATACTGAATACAAACTTCATGTGCATGTTTTTGGCCTTCCAGACTGAAGAAGAGATTGCCCAGCTTGAGGAGGATATCCGAGGTATCGAGCGAGCTATTCGTGACAAGATCAACCCTATGAAACTTGCACAGACACGACTAGAGAACAGAACTTACAGACCTAATGTTGAGCTCTGCCGTGACCATGTGCAATATGGGCTGACTGACGAAGTAAAACAGCTGGAAGCCACAAAGAAAGGACTAGAAGAGAAGCTCAGACAGGCTAAGTAAGTGCTATGAGAAACTACTTTTAATACCTTTTTTTTTTTTGGGGGGGGGGGGGGGTATTAATGAAATGTCAACATGTTAAAGCCTATCCAAACGTACTTCATTTTTACTCTTATATTTTTCTAATCAACAGGTTTATAACTTGATCATTCATTTATTGTTACCTTTTTCCCCTTCAGACATGCATTGGATGGACTTGAGCAGAACCTTCACAGGATTAATGAAGACCTTGCTTGTAAAATTAATTCTCTTATGTTGGACAACCGTTGCATGGATACTCGCAAGAAGCTGACCATCCGTCCCTTTTCTTCCACAGACAGAAACATAAGTTTGACAGGAATTGAGCGCGAGAGGACGCAAGTTTTGGCATAAACTTTAGAAGTGACATTTTAAAAATGCAGATTTTCATCAAAACTATCTCTGGACTGGACTTTTTTTCCCCCGACATACTGGCAGTACTAGCTGGTTCAAAAATCTTGAACACATTCAACATTTAAATCTTTCATCTTTTGCTCACCCAAAATATTTTGCTTTATATGTGAAAAAAAAGGATGTCTCATTTATAGAAAACCATACAGTTTAAAATGGATTTTGGAGACCCATTATTGTTTTGATTGCTCAAGCTTTTAAATTATTTTAGACAAGTATATCATCACCTTTCAATTAGTTAAATACATTTCTGTCCATTGTTGGTCAAGATCGTGAAAATAATTGATATTGTAAATAAAATTGTGTAGTAAGATTGAAGCTGTAAGCTGTAACAGTGCACCATTTCATATAAGTATTTGTAAATAAAAACCATTTTATCATCAAACATGTTTGTTGTAAAGTTTTACTTATGTTATTGGATAAAAATTTTAAAAGTTTTACCTTCATTCTTTGAATGACGAAAATGCCACATTTTCACATTCTCTACTATACCTATTAAATGTGATTTTGTACAATCTTAATACACAGCAATGCACCCCCTCAAAGCAAGAATATTGACTTGTTTCTGCTATTGGCAATCAAAGTACAATACAACTTATACATTATACATTAGCTTCACTTTATTGATTTCCAGTAAAACGGGTACACAAAATCCTTCCTTTGAACCTACAGTCACTCGATTGATATCAATATTAATATGTACCAATATGCAATTTGTTTATCCATTAATTCTTTCAGCACTAAATCATAAATTTCAGTGCATTTTCATGTTTTTCTTTTTTAATCTTGTTAGTGATATTGTAAACCACTAATCTTTTAAAATTCAATGGGTTCACTGTCCAACCTTTCACTTCTAAAACACCCAAGACCCAAATATTCTGAATGTATACATGTATAAATAGGCAAATTATCTTAAAACTGCTGAGGTCTTCTAAGCAAGCCTCCCCTTCCACCCCTTGGAGGCATTCCTCTTGACCTCTGTGCCATCCCTCCCCTCCCTCTGTGCTGATACTGCTGCGGATGTCCACCACGTCCACCACGGTATGGCTGCTGCTGCTGTTGTTGATACTGACCACCACCACGTGGAATGTTGAGTCGTCTCTGACTAATACCTCCTCTGTTATCCCCCATTATAGGCCTGCTCTCCCCTACAGGGGGTCTTTGGCCAAGGGCTGGAATGGGGGCACCACTAGTGCTTGGTTTTGGGGCACTGTCAGTTGATCCCCATGTTATTCTTTTTATTTTTGGCTTGCCTAGGTGAAATAAAAAAATTATATAAGCTAGAATCTGTTTGATCTATAACAATTTCTTTATTTTGACATGATGGTTACATTTTACTATAATTTTTATCCAATAACATAATCATTTCATTTTGACAGGCTGAAAAAACATTTCTGTACATTGCAATAGAACTAGTGCTCCATAATACAATACTACTAGAGAAAATAATATTAGTTATACAATAGGATAATCTATTTTGTAGCTTATCATGCTTTGGTCAACAGTAAATACCTTGCTGCTTCTGCTCTTCACTCAGTCCAGTACCAGCATCTCCTTCCTGGCTCTCTTCTCCACCTTCACCAGACTTAGCTTCAGACTGCTGATCACTTTTATCTGGGGAGAATAAAATATGGGCTGCTTATTGTTCTAATAGGGTAAAACTACAGTAAGTGGTTGTGCTGCTGCTACTACAAGATTCATATGCATTCCTTAAATCTTTAGTGAACATGTGTATTTAGATCTAAAGTATCCACAATAAGAATTTCCACTATGAGATGCTTGATATTGGCACGACTAACAAACAGTGAACTAGTCCCACTGCTGTGTTACCACCCACAAAACCTCTTGTCAAAATGATAAATATAATAACATAATATATGTATGGACGGGGATTCTCAAATACTGACATTTCTTCTTTTCAAATTTCTTACCTTCAGAAGCAAATTCAGTATCTGCTTCATCTTCTTCACCCTGATCACCAATCAACAATTCTTCTGCAGCATCAACTTCTTCTTCACCACTAATAAATACAAATAGACAACTGGAGTTGAAAAATCACAACATCTAACAAAAACATACTGAAACATTTAACACTCACTTGAAAAATATTAACCATGACTAAAAGCGGACAAAACTGAATTATTTGAAAGATGACTCACACTTCTCCTTCAAAATTCTCTTCCTCCAGAGTTTCTCCCTGTACAGTCTCTGCTTGCTCTTCTCCAGTCAGAACACTAGTGGTCGTTGACTGTGTTGTAGATGAAGTTGAAGAAGTAACTGCTGGTGCTGATGTTGTTGCTGTAGCAGCAGAAGATTCAGCTGCCACCTCCTGGGGCTCAGTATCAGGTGGGGTGGTAACGATGGTGACAGGAGGCACAAGATTCAAGGGGGTTGTGGGAACACTGCGGCCACTCCCCTCATCAAAGGCAGACAGGTCCATCCTGGTGTCGTCTACCCCTAGGGCCCCTTGGGTGGCAAGCTGGGCTAATTCTGCCTGCTGCATATCAGCACCAAAAACAAAAGACCGCCCTTGTTGTACCATGGGAGAGTGGACAGCTTCGGCAAAACCATCATTTCTTCTTGGTACAAACAGTGTGGGAGTGCTGGGGACTATCCCATCATCCCCCTCCTCAAAACCACCACCAGGGGCAGCACCAAACGGGGCCAGCTGGTTCCTGCCAAGTGATGGCAGTCTCTCTGCTCTGCCAGAACTTCTTTGAAGAGTAGATGATTGAGCAGGTTGGAGTCCTGAACCCATGGGAGCAACCTGGGCCTCTGTTAAAATAGAAGAAAATATTCATTGAATCACAAAACTATTACTTCTATAACCTCAACATACTCTTAAGTTTTTGAATTTTTCCCAAATTTAAGAATAACAAAATGAAGATTAAGATGGTGCAAAGATTTCATGAAAAAGCAGGTAATTTCACCTTGTTGCTCTGCTCGTTGTTGTCCTCCAGCCTGGGATCCAGGGTCTACCATCTCAGCATCAGGTTCTTCTTCTTCTATTTGAAAAACAGAAAGGCTTATTATGTTCTATCCTATAGACAGTCCACTCAAAAGTAAATAAGTATTTCAATATCAATTCGGCCATTTCCAAAATAGACCCATTTTAGAAATTTAATGCCTGTGGTTGTTTTATTTGTCTTTTTAATTATCGCCAAAGGAATCATCTTCATTTTTATTTTTACCAAAAGTATCTGCCTCAGCTATCTTTACAAACCAGATCTTACATTCCCATAGATACCAGCAGGAAGAACATAAAGTGAGAACAACACTAATATGATAAATATATACGAGCGTACCAACTATAACAATATCTTCATCGTCACCAGCAGCAACAGATTCTTGTTGCATCTCTTCATCACCATTTTCCTCCATCTCCTACAACAATGTGTACTAACATGACATTTGGAACTTAAAACATCTTTGATACTATGACGTAAAATTACTGATGAGGATTTTTAAAAAAGTAAAAATATAAAGAAAAATCTATGCAAGACAAAAAACTGGTCTAACAGATAGTTTAGATGCCTTTTTAATATAAAATTTTAGCCCCACTCATGTTTTGGTTTATATATTAATTGTCAATATATAATTTTATCTAACAATGATAATTATTTGAGAACCCATAATATAATTTATACTTTATAAAATACCATTGCTACTTTAAGTGGTGTATAATGAAATTGTAAATAATAAAATTGTCTTTTTACATACACACACACACATTTCCACATGTGGATTAATTTTAAATCAGGTCATAAGCCAGCATAAATATCCTATGTATATTTAAAGCCATCACAATTGAATTAAATCCTTACTTGAAACTCTTCATCGTAATCACTACCAGCCTCTGCTTCAATTTGCTCCATCTCATCATAGTCTTCCTCTTCCTCCTCCTCCTCACCTTCCTCTTCTTCATCATATTCCTCCTAAAAATAATACACTTTAATCTTAGATAGGTTTTAGTTTGATGATTTATTCAAAATAACGAACTGGAAGTGTTGAAAAAACAAGGGCCTATTAAAATGTAAGATTTTCGTTAGTTTGTGGTCCACTTGATGTAACTGACCCTGTGTTTTGGAAAAGGAGACTTGTGATTTCTTGGCTCTGGCAAATTTTAAAATCCTACAATCACAGTGACAATTATATGTAACACCAACTGTTGTAAAACAAAAGTCCACCCACCTGTTCTTCATCCTCACTCTCAACAATTATTATTATGTCAGCATCATCTTCTTCCACCTGAGCTGGTTGCTGTTTCTGCCTTTGTTGCTGCATAAGTTGCTGCTGCTGTATCAGCTGTTGTCTCTGTAAGGTGTCATCAGACTTGTCCTGGGCTGCTGGTGGAGTTGGTTCTTCCAGCATCTCAGTGAGAGAGGAGCTGGCAGTTGTGTCTTGTTTGCTGCTACCTGCAGATTCAAGGGTTTCCTTGGATGCCTCATCTTAATATAAAAGAAAGCAATACAATTTGGCACTTTCTTTTTATTTGATCTCTCTTTGCTGAAAAATAATTATACTCCTGCGTAGCTCTACACCGGTAAAATCCTTTACCGCTACCTTATCAAACTAGATATGTTTACCTTGAGGTTGTTCTTCTTCCTGTGTCTCCACCTGCTGCAAAGGTTCCTGAATGCTTTCAGATGAGGCCGCGCCCCACACTTCTTGCTCTGCCTGAGGTTCTACCCTAGCCTCCTCGGCTTCCTGAACAACCCAAAATATAAGTTTTATCCAGAAATTTATATTTTCTTTACACTATTATGTAAATCTTCAAACCATAGAAAATTTTCTTAGTATCATGTTGATTGAATATATTTTGTATAAAGGGTTAGGGTTCAAACTTTCAACTCACTGGAGAAGTTCTCGTCCTTTTGACATGAGGTGAGATAGATCTCTCCTCTTCTTCTTGGCTAAAAAAGAATAAAATTAACTGTACGGCATTAACTGTCAGAAAGGAAGATGCATAATTTTTCATCTTCAACATGAACAGTAATAAAAGACTGCAGACAGTGGCAACTGAAGTGGATGTACCACTTGATATTTTGTATAATTAATTCTATTTTCATTTTTATCTTAATATTAGCTTAATTCAAAAATTAAAAAACCATACAATATGGAAAAAACATATGGATAAACAGTACAGTAATGAAAACAATTATAGACAATTATTGTACCTTCCCAGCTGATCTCTGCCTCTCTTTGCTGCTGCTGCTGGCATGGCAGCACTTCCTGATGACACTGTTGATGTTGATGGAACTTCTGCTGCACTCACTTCTTGTTCAGTCACTTCTTCAACTTCAGGAGGAGCTTCTGCTGCTTCAACTGCAAAAAGTTAATTCAAATACCATGCCTTCACTTGATTTACTGAAATTCAATATTTTTCATCAAAATTATGTATTTTAAATTATTATTTTAGTCTAGTCTTAATTGTTCCCTACAAAAGACTCGAGAACATTGCTGTGTTTGTGTTTGCAAGGGACACAATGTCAAATTATATTTTCTCAGTAAAGAGAATGTTACGATACTGAGACAGCAAGGCACTACTACTTCTTATTTACCAGATTCTTCCATATGTGGTGACACTGGCTGAACTTGCTGTGTTGGTCTAATTGCTGCTGACACAGGGCCACTTGGTTCTTCTAAAACGAAAAAAGGATTTAATTTTATTTTTGATACTTGTCTGCTCAAGAGTAATTCTCAAGGCAGCAAGAGATCTTGACTTCTGTGATCACTATGTTAGGCATTCAGAGATAAAAGTAAAAACAGTTGAGGTAAAAAGAGAACATGCAAACCTTCATGTATTTCTGGTTGAGTCACTGGCATGACAGTTGCTGTAGGGGTCTGTGTGGTGATAGCCATTGGTCGAATACTGGCCATGGCTTTAGCCGCAGCAGCAGTGGACACTGGCTGGACAGCAGCCACTGTGGTAGCTGTGGACACTGGTTGGACAACCTGTCTTGTAGTGGGAGCTGGGCTGGCCATAGGACGAATATTTGCTGTGGGAGGCTCAACACTGGATGTGCTAGAAAAGACAGGAAAAAATATATATTTCTACACTTCATATAAATGAGGAAACTGAAAACTTTGACTTAACAGCTTCCCCTTTTTATATATTCCATCACAAACATAGGCTATAGCATTGAATGCAAATATTGCATTTGAAAAGGGCAAAAAAAAAAAAAAAAAAAAAATCTGATTTTGCTACATGTTACAGACCCAACTTACTTATTTCTTTCCGCTGTTCCTGTAGATGGTTTGATTCCTTTCTGCTGAGACTCTAGCATCTTTTGTTGCTGTTGAAGCTAAAACCAAGACCAGAAATATTTTACCTTTCACATATTAGAGGTAAATTATACTTTAAATATAAATAAGCCCCAATGCTTTCATGATCTTATATTTGTTATACATACTTCACTATCTATAAAGCATTTGGATAATATTAATGTAATTTTTCTTAACAATTCTTCATTTTCTCCACATCCATGCTAGTATACCAGTGTAATTCTCAAAATCTTTACAGGGAATGAAATAATAAACATTTTTACCTTCATTACAAGTTCTGCATTTTCTTTTTCCAACTTCTCCTTATTCTTGACATTCTGCTGAGATTCTGCCAGCTTTTCACTAGCTTCTTGGAGCTTTTCTTTTGCTTCTTGCAGCTCGCGCTCTAGAGCTGCTACACGTTCTTTGGCTGCTGTACCTCCAGCATCAGCTTCTGTAAGTAAAAAAAAAAAAGTGAATATCTGATGGCACAGGTAGAGCCATTTTTTCCAAAGTTTATTCAGCCAATCACAGAAGACCACAAGACTCATCCAAAGACTACAGTCTGCTCATTTAAAGACTGTGTATACAGGGGCTATTAAAGACCAAAATTGGAACTCATTCCAAAAGTATCTACAAGCAAGGGTTGCTGTTAACTAGAATTTGAACAAACTCTACATTATTATTATTATTATTATTATTATTATCAGACAACAGGCATTTACATAAAATACCTAAAAGCATTGATAGTTTGTTGGGTCATATGCAGGTGTATCATTGTCAGTATTCTGGGTTGAAATACTGTGACCTTCTAGCTCTTAAATGTCAGCCCTATTTATTGAGACATATGAACAGACGAAGCTTACTGAATAAGACCATCTTATTATAAATTTTATCAAAGCTTCTTTTTAAAAAATTAACAGAATAACACATAAATTTTCTTAAAATATTTCTGACCTGTGTTTCGTAAATCTAGTTGCTCTTTCATTTCTTTATTTTCTGATTGTAACTTGTCCATTTCGGTCTTGTTCTGTTGTAATTTTGTTTTTGAAGTTTGCAAAACTGACTGGAATCTGAGGTTCTTCTTTTCAGATTCTTCCCAATCCTTCTTTAGCTTGGTTTCTGATTCTTGTACAGTTTTCAAGTCCTAAGATGAAAAATACAAATTCATAAATTTCACTATGACATCAAATGAGTAACTCACAAAGTAACATCATGATCAGGAGACACCCAATTTGACAATGATACTTAAATCTTAAAATGTGCCACACAAGAAACTACCAAATAGATCTCATTTTTTCCGTTAATCAAAACGTTAAGCGACACTCAGTTCTTTAAAAAATTATACCACATAATTCACCTACTTCCTTAAGCTTTTGCATCTGTTCATTCACTGACTTCATACTGTTTTCTAGCTCCTGTTTCAGTTGGTGCCATTCCTCCTTCTCCTTCTCCAGTGAGGCTACCTTAGCACCTTGTTGACGAGCAGTCTCCTCTGCTGCCTTCAACTGCTCTTCAGTCACACTAAACTGTACTGCTTGCTGTGCCTGTTGCTGCTGTTCACTGGCTTTGGCCTTGAGCTCTTCCATCTCTTTACTGAGAGCTGCATACTGGTCCTTGTATTTTCTACCAACTTTCCTCAACTGAAATATCCAGACATCAAATGTCAGGTGGGTTCGGTATATGTGATGGCAAAAGGGTCAGTCAATTTTTTAATGAAACAAACTTTTCCATTATTTTTTTAACAAAAGCGCATAGTAGTTCTGGTTTTTTTAAGTACTGAATGTTATCACTGCAAACTGATTGGTTGCTTATGCAATTTATTTCATCATTTTACAGAAGTTATATCTTATATTCTGACTAAAAACTCCATATAAGAAGATATACAACTCACTTGAACGATAGTTTTGTTTTTCTCCTCTATATCTTTTTCCCTAGCTTCTTTCTCTGTTTTAAGGTCTTTTCTGCAAAGACACAAAATATAATATTATTCAACACCTAAACTTGAATATATTTTTAAAGTTGAAGGTACTGTATAAGATTATGGTTTATTTATCATTTTTGGTTATCATAAAAGTGTCTTTTATAATTTAAAACAGTCCAGTGGAATAAAATAATATTTTTTGAAAAATCAGCATTTACAAACAGGTGACAATTACTATTACTTACGTAAGCTTGTCAATCTGCTGTGTGTTGGCTTTTACTGCATTCCTAAAACAAAGAAGATCAAAGATGCTACTTGTGTTGTTCATGCCAACCTTCATATTTGATATCTGAGTAATTATTCAGATACCTTAACAGTGATCCCGACAAATAAAGTTAAAATACAGTTCATACACACTAGACAAAACAAAAATAAATAAAGAAGAACTTACTGGTTTTGCTGAAATTGTGCATTAATTCTAGAAATCTCTGCCCTGAAACACAGAAAAACAATTATAAAATAAACATTAAACTTCCAAATTAATGTCAAGAAATATACTCTAGCAAAAAGACATATCGGGTATTACATCTTAGCAATAAGACTGTCCCTTTTCGTTTTGAAAGACTGACAACTTAACAGCCAGGCTATTTTGTAGCCAAAAATTTGAAAATCCTCCTAATTCTATGCAAGTCCAAACTAAGTATTTAATTTTCACTAGTCTAGGCAACACCATTTATTACTTTGTATTGTATTTTCACACAAACCTTACCAGTCCAGAGGAACTGCAATATCAAAAATCTTGCAAGTCCTCGGGAATTTCAAAAGGCCATGACTAGATGGACAGGCAGTTTCACCATTTCTGCAGCCTGTACCATAATTGCACAGTAGAACCTTTTGCAGCATACTGTGAAAGCAGTATAGCTAAGATACAACACTCAAAGTGAAAAGGACTGTGAGCAAACTGAAGAGTTAAGTTACAGTCAGCTTACCTCTGTTTAAATGTTTCTTCATTTAATGCTGCATTATGTTTCTTTAGGTCATCTCTTTCTAGTCTGGAAGTAAAAAAAAAAGATTTCAACAGCTTGTCTAAAATGATCAAATAAAATCTTCTTTCTTTTATTTTTCTACCCAAAAGAAGTGACACTCAGATCGCCTTTTAAAAGACTTACAATCAAATTCTATCTTCCACAATAGTGAAATAAAATTATTTATAAACATCTTTTTGAAATAATATCACAACGGCATGTGTTTAATCATGAAAAAGTCATTTTCACACTAACCTGACTTTGTTCATTTCCTCACTAACACTGGTAATGTTCTTTTTCAAGTCATCTCGCTCTCTCCTAGAACAAAAATAGGTTTGAGGTCAACTGCTGTTTAAAAAATGTCAAATACTTTGAAGTCCATGATTTTATTATATATTTGTTTTCTGTTAGTCACCAGTGTATATTCCATATAAATAAAGTTGCTATTCACACAGTTCAAGTTTCCCTTGCTTCATCCAAAAGCCCATAATGAAATCAGATTTTTATCCTAATTATTGCATTTTGGCACAAATTCTTACTTATTCTGACAGAAAACCATATCTACATGTCTCTCTATTACTGAGTTAAATGTACCACTTACACCACCCTCTTGTGTTCCTCTGGGTCAGACCTATTGGCCTGTTCTATGAGGCTGTTCACCCTGGCCTTCCATCTGTCCAGCTCTGCCTGGATGCCAGTCTTCTCAGCCAGGAGGGAGTCTCTCTCCTTCATCAGGTCAAATTTGACCTGTTTCAGGGGACCAATGATCTCCTCAAGTTTTTTCACCTTAAACATACGGAAGTATTGGTTATACCAGTGGCATGGATTACGAAAAGAGGATTCATATTATGCATATCTATGAACTTTTAAAACTTGAAGACATTAGTGGTGATCATGATTGAAATACAGATTTATGCATCTAATAAGTGCTAAAAGCCATTGCTATCTGATGCAGAAACATGAAACATCACAGAGAAATGTGCAGGAACATTATGTTGTAAGTTTTTAGTGTACATGGTTTATACCCATACGCCAAAATACAACTAGGCATGTCACAATGTGTCACAAAGACTGCCTGTAAATTCTATGTCATATATCATATCTACAATGCACACAAGTATAAACAATCTCCTCTCACTTTAGTTTCCAATTCCCTGAGGCTCTGAGTAAGTCTGTCCTTCTCCTCTCGAAGTAGTTTATTACTGTCAGTGAGCAGGTTGAGGTTCTCCACTTTACGCATCAATTCACTATGCTGAGCCGCTGTCTGAACATTAACCTAAAGATAAAATCAGATCCAGATTCATTCAAGTAAGGGTAAATACCTCTAAGAGTATAAAGATATATTCTGTAACTGCAGTTTCAGAATAACAGCTACCTTTTTGCTCTTCCCAGCTATAGCCTTAAAACCAACTTTTCATTAAAACTGTAATATCCATACTACATTTTGATAGAGGAAATGGGATGAAATGGAATAACCCTTACTTGTGCATTTGCCCTCTCTTCAGCCAGACCTCTGTTAGTCTCCTCCAGCAGTTTCTCCAAATGATCGCATCTCTGCTTTAGCCTGTTACTCTCTGCCTGGCTCACCTCAAAACGGGTATTTGCAATTTCTTTCTCTCTTCTCAAAAATCTAGAGTAAAGTCATTTTGTCTAGAAAATTGGCTGATTCACATAAAACTTGTAGTCAACAAGGATTTTTTAAAAAGTTAATAAGTTACTGTCTACAACTGGAATTTTTTTTAAATATCAGTTTGTTTACAAAATGAACTGTTCAGAAATGAAATAGTTTCCATTGCACTTAGTAAAATAATGATCTAATTTTATGATGAAGTTAATACTCAGTGCACAACTATTACAATTAAAACAAATATATGTCAGTCACCTAATCACTTCTAAAAGTTGTTCCGATGTTTTATTGATTTCGTCAGATATTGTTGCAGAGTCAGTCTCTGATGACCCCTGTCTCTCCCTCTTTTGAAGTGCAACCATTTGAGCTGTCATCTGCATTAAAGGTGTCAAATATTTCTCTATAATTTTATGTCATAATATTCATTTATCATTTATCTCTCTTTTCAAGAGCTCTTGTTTGAAAAGTAAACATTATTAAGTATGCAACACAATCTACTTATTATCTACAATCAAATTTTTTTTTTTTTTTTTTTTTTGAGTAGTCAACTGACTTGAATGAGTCTTGTTTACATAAAAAATCCCCTCATAATGCTAAAGGGAACCATGTATTACTTTCAGTTACTCAAACCTGTCTTAAAATTGTTGAGGCCAGGGTTAATGCAATCATAATCAAGTCTGTTAATTGTAAAACTCACAGTTTCAATGTGTTCATGTAGTGAACGATTCTGATTGTCTAGCTCAGTACACCTTGACTCTAGTTTACTACTCTCTTCCTTAAACATTTTTTCTTGCTCTTCCCAGGATTTCTAAACAAAAATGGAAAATATGATATGGTTGCAAAAATTGTTTCTTTTAATGGTACTGCAAAAACAATCATATCTTCTTTTATTCAATGATATATAAATGAATAAAATTATAATTTTTATAATCTCGTTCTGTGAGAATTCCTCTATATTTAAAACTGTACTATATTAAATACTGAATTTTTTAAAAGTAAATCTTAAGTAGCTTTCTTCTAAAATCCACTTAAAAAATGCCATACTATCGATTCTAGTATGTATCAACAACTGTGAAGCTGCATCTTGGACACCTCCTACCTTAGCTGTCTGCAGCATGTCCTGGGCCTTCTTAGCCTCCTCCTGAGATGATGTCAGCCTCTCATTGAAACTTTCATGCTGAAAAATAAAATCAAAAGGCTTCAGAATGGACCATCTGATGCAGAGAAATGGGGCTTTTGACCACCTATTTGTAAAAAGCATTTTACACAAAACCACAATTTTTGTAAACAACATCAAACAAACTCCTAATCTCTGCAGTGATGACAGCTATCCCAGCATGTCAAATTTAATACATATGAACTTGTTCCTTACTTGTTTTCTTAGTGCTGTCAAAGTTTCAACATCACCAGCATGGAGGACTAGTTCATTCTCATACTTCTCTTGGCACTGACGAGAAAAATATACTTGTTCTCAATAGATTCATAAATCAGATATATGGTTAACATGGAAATACCTAGTACTAGTGATTGGCATTCTATAGACTATATAAAACAATTAAATGCCTTATAATTTAATTTTGTAGAGATGTGAAAATAAATAGCAAATGGCATGTGCACACACTCTCACAAGTACTAAATGAAAACCTTACTTCCTGAGCAAGTTTTGCCTGTGCCTGACAATCCTCTCTTGCTGCCTGTTCATTCTTTATGGCCTCTTCCCTCCTCTGAACAGCTTCCTGCAGTTCATTCTGCAACTCAGCAAGCTTCTTTCTCAGTTCTGCATTCTAAAATGTATGGAAGTCAACTCAAATCAGAGAGATCAAAAATACTCTTAAAATCACATAATGAATGTTAGACCTTTATGTTATGATAGCAAAAATTGATGAAATCAGGAAAATTTACGTTTTTGTTGTATTAAGGTCCAAGGTGCATTGTATGCCTTTAAGGGAGAAACTGACACATATCAGAGAGCACCTTTCTTTTAAATTAAAATTTATCAAGATTGTAAGACAGTAATGATGACATATTCTAAATACTTCCCAAACATCAGTTATACTTACCAACTGATGGCTGTCTTCTGTGATCTTGATGTTTTCATTGAGTATTTGCTGTCTCTCTGTTTCCAGAGCTTCCACTTGTTTTTCTAATCTTGCAACCTCTAAAATATAGGTGTAATGTGTATAAAATAAAGAGCACCCCAAGAGCCAAAATCTTCACCAAGAAAAAAATATCAGGGGGCCTGGGTTCAGTTGCAATCATAAGCACCTATTTTCCTCCTAAATAATTGTCTATCCTGAATAACCTGAGCAAAATTGTTGAAGAGATTTTTGGTATATTGTGTTCATTAACAGACAGGCAGACAAAACAATGCCCATATGCTGGCTTTAACAAGTATTTTCATATGAATCAACTAAAAAGTGATATATGATTAAACAGTCTTTAAAAATAAAGCAAGAAGCATAGGAGATTTTCTTTGGTCAAAACTACTTACTCTGATTGGCTTCCTTTAAGTTGACTTCAACAGCCTCTTTAAACTGATGACTAGCCTGCAGAAAAACAATCACATAGAATTCAAAAGACAAAAAATTTAAAATGCATAAAATTTCTGTGTTAGAAATTGTGATCCATCACACTTCCTTAATTCATATCTTGAAATGATAGCCCACACATTAAATTGAAAGTAAATGCTGAAGTGTTACAAGAAATGACATAACTTCACACATGTAAATAAATATGATGGTGCTCACCTCATTCTGTTCTTTAAGGCTCTGTTCAATGTCAGATGAAATGGCTCTGTACTGGTCAGCATGCTGCTTTGCTTTGTCCAATTGATCTTTCAAATCTTTAAAGTAAGTTATTTGACTTTACTTCAACACATATCCAATATATTTTTCTATTTATACTATCCTAAATACACTATTAGCCACCAAAGGCATCATAATCTCTTTCTAATAAGGGAGTATCATTCAAAACTACATTCACGTTTGGTAATATATCATTTTGAAGGGAGCAACTTACTTTTACATAAGCAATGTCAATCTACATAAGTGTTTTTTAAACCCCTGCTGCAACACTGTATTTTTTTATATTTTGAATTAAAAATTGCATTTGTTTTTATGTTCTCAACATTTCTATATAATTATTTTATCATAATCATATTTAAGTTCAGCATATGAAGTGCAATTCTCTTTATGAATTATCTTGATTATAATCAAGCCATTCTACTGTGACAAATGGTGATATGACATACTTTTAACTTCATTTTGTGCTTGAGTCAGCTGTGCCCGGAGGTCTCTAACTTCATCTTTTGAGGCAGCAGAGCCAGAGGGTAGGGGTGTGCTTGAAGCAGAGCCAGCATCTAAAAAACAGAAAAGGGTAGTTTTCATTCAATTCTGAAAATATCTATACAAATTTCTTTAACACACACGCACAAACAGGGTAAATGCTCAGAGAAGTTCAGATAATTTGTATTTTACAGTCACTTATCTATGTAAAAACTCACTGAAAATACAGAAAGACAAAATTTAATGCCATTTTGATGTAAATCCAGCATAACATCAGAAAATTAGCCCTAGGGGAGTATTCACATTAGGTACAAATAATTTAACAAGCTACCTGGGACATCTTGTCCTATACTTTGTAGCCTTATTTCTGCTGCTGCAAGTTTGGCCTCAGCCTGAGACAACTGAAAATGATATATAATGCAATTCAAAATCAATAAATGCACAAGAAAATAGTAAGCATAAGTTTTCGAAGTCATTATACATTGTTTATGACCACCAGATAAAGGTTTCACAGTTGAAACCAAATGTGAACCTATACAAACTTCATAGGTTCACATTTGGTTTCAACTGACTTAACTAAATTCTCATTAAAAAAAATGAGATTTTGGAAATAAATAATAAAATAAAAAGAAACCGCGTCTCCTTTAGACTCACCTAATTTTTTGTCAGAATTTGGTTAATAAAAATCAAAGTACTGGCATTTACTTAAATGACTCACCTCCTGTTTCAACTCATGCATGTTAGCATATGTATCAATCAAGTCATCTTGGGCCTTTCTGCTTTTCTTTATCTCCTCATCATATCTGTTCTGTGCTTTGACTAGTTGTTGCTGGAAATATAGAAACAAAGAGTCAGACACATTTGGGATATGCTTTAGATTATCATGTGAAGTCTTATAAGTATATGTTTCTGGTATTTGCTTTAAAATATGTAATAACAATCTTTCTGAACAGCTTCCTAAATAATGCTGTTTAACAATGAAGGCATTCTCTTATCTCATATACTTTAAATAGTCATAACGATTCATAGGATGCAAAAAAAAGTATTGTTAGTTTGATAACTTAAAATGCAAGTTGACAAACACAAACCCAAAAGCAATTGACTTAAATCTAACTTAAAGTTAGAGAAAAATATTACTAACCTCCCAATTTTTGGCATCGATTCGGTGTTCTTCAAGTAAACTATCAATCTTCCTCCTTAGAATAGTACATTCTCTTTCCAGTGCTTCATTCTGATTGGTCAGTTTGGTCTTCATTTCAAACTCCTGCCTTTCCAAGTTGTTCTAAAATCAATCAAGCACAATTAACTATTCCGTTTTCCATTACATTCCAATGTAATGCTGACATGACTCATTTATAACAGTAGCAGGGTTATTAGATCAAAAACTGCTGCTGGATACCAACCTTCAAGAAATCATTAAAAACAATGTTGTATCCCAGCAACGTCTGAGAAATGTTGATCCTATTTCTCTTATATTTCGACATTTCTGGGTAAACTGACCTGTATTGTCTGAAGATTGGTAAGAAGCACATTCTGCAGCCTCTGTTCCCTGTTCATTGCTTCTTTCTCCTGCATCAGCCTAATCTCTGCAGTTTTCAGGAGCTCCTTTTCCGACTCCAAATTCTGGCATCTGACCTCTGACCTTGTGAGACCCTCCTGGGCCGCCATTAAGTCCTTTAGGAAGAAACATCCAGATTGAGTCTAAGCTACTTTCATTATACTTACAGATTTTCATGAAAAAGTCAATTTGTTAAAGAAAACATACCATTTACAGATTAATCTTTTTCAGTAAAGAAATACAATTTAAAGAAAATGTTATTCTTAACTTTAATTGCAAAAATTGCACTTAATAAAACCACTTACTTCTCTCAGAGTGCTGAGTGTCTGCTCATGCTTTACAATGGAAGCTGTGTATTTCTGGTTTTTGTCTCTGAGTGCAGCTATCTCCTTCCTATAGCCCTCCACATTAGACTGTACTATCTTGTATCTCTCTGCTGAGAAATCAAGCTGGAATGAAAAAATGTGCAAAACTAGGTTCAGAGGCAAAAGTAGTCTGTTTGAGCCTACTGACCCTTAAAGGGCATAATAAAAATATTGGCCCAAAGCAAAAATAGTGGCCAGCATCAAATTTATTAAATTTGACTGGGATTTGGAATGAGGTTAATGTTAAAAAATGCAGGAGAACAGATTTAGAAGACCAGTGTCTTACTTTATCTGTCAGTTGTTAAGAAATTTCAAAATCTACATTTTGAAAATGAAACATGTCTCTTGACAGGTAATTTTCTGGAGGGCAAAAATATTTGAGCCTGCAGATCCTGAGCCTTGGGCACCAAGTTTGATGAAGATATATAAAATAACAACATAATTGGAAGTGTGCCGTCTATATTTTCTGAATGCTATGGTGCTAAAAATCTAACATAATATTTGAAGAATCTTTGCTTACCTGGGATGATAATTTAGCGTTTTGCACTCTCATTTCTGACATTTCCTGCTTCAGTTTATCAATCTGCTCATTTAGCTGTCTGAATAAACAAATTCAATTTATCAAAAGTAAACTTTTCTTAGAAATATGGTTGAACAACTTGAAACAATAAGTATTTTAACTTATTAGAATATATACACTCTCTCTCTCTCTCTCTCTCTCTCTCTCTCACACACACACACACACACACACACACACACACACACACACACACACACACACACACACACACACACACACACACACACACACACACACACACACACACACACACACAC